CATTTTTTTTTATTCCATATATATGCGTTAGAATACAGTATTTGTTTTTCTCTTTCTGATATACTTCATTCTGCATGACACACTCTATGACACCTCACTACAAATAAATTTTAGAAAAATTTTTATCCATGTTTTTAAGTGGTATTTTTTAAAAAATCCCACATAGATTATATAGCAAGAGTAGGGAATTATAAAGTATAAAATAACACAAAAAAATGGTTAGACTTTGTATACATATTAAAAATTATAATGAATATCCTAACAAAACTAGAGCATTAATTTTCCTAATTCAGTTACATTTAACATTTTAAGGCCAAAATCTTAAGGTTTACCGACAGTGTGAATGTTAATGCTTTTCCTTAAGGTTCTTATGAAATTATATAAATATTTTGCATGTTAAAATAAATTTAAGTAACATTCCATTTCATTTTTAAAATGTAAGAATGCCCTGAAGAGTCAGACCAGTTATACAGCTTATGTCGATTTTGAAAAAAGGTCAACAGAGTACTTTTTCTCAAGGTGTAAAGTAGTATTGCCACAAAGCAGACACCACCTCACAAATGTCATAGGAATGGCTCTTAACTTCCCCCACAAAGAAATCCACTGAATTTTTCTTAGTATTGAAAAAAAAAAGTTATCACTTGAGCCTGGAAGACTATTTTATATTGAGATTTCTGTTGAAATTAGTCAATTTAACAGCATTTTAAGTCTATACTATAAGGAGTAAGCCAAGAAAACTAGAATGTGGTTTTCCTCAATTTCTATGGACCCATTTCTAAAAAGCATATAGTTCTTAGGCATTTAGTTCACAGAATTATACTCCTAAATTAGAAAAGTGGTAATTTTGCTTCTTGTTTCAATTACTTTTTCTGAGAAACTGCTCATCCTACACAAGCTGCAATACATAAGATCAAACAGTAATAAACATGCAATCAATCCATATCTAGCACCAAGCACTGATTACTGGCTAGATATTCTCATCTGGAGAGACTGACCCTTTAAATTTTCTATCTGCATTCTGAAAGAACCTGAAACCTGACATACCCTAAGATATTCCTGATTTTAATTTGTAGCCTTACTAGTTCATAAACTTACAGGTAGGTTGAATATGGTGTTTTGAAACATGTGAACCAAACATTTGCTTAAAATCACATAATACATTTAAAAAACAGTAACCATTAACCCACTGAGCATCCATCTATCTCAAGTTGATACTATTTCTTTTCATAAATTCCAAATTGTGGTACATTGCTAGAACATAAGATTCAAGAAAGAATAATCATATAACCCTTTCCCCAAAATAAAATAAAAACATTATACCTTTTTTTTTGGGAAAATACTACTGATGTGGTATAGTATCCTATGTATATTTTCAAATTCAGTCTTTCCTCACATGATTCCTTTAAATAAAAAATGGTATTTGTCATTATTGTGAAGTACTGTTTTAACTTGAATGAAGCTGAATCAACCTGGAATATCTAACACTTCTATAAGGGAATATTGTATTTCTAAATAGGTTTTTGACTATAGTATCTCTACGCTTAATTTGCTTCTTTCAAAAGATGTACCCAATTTAATTCTATAATCACAGTCAATCCATCTTACAGTCCATTCACCTTCTCTGTGGGCTGTCCCAGCTCTATTGTGTTCCTGGGATGGGATCAGTGCATTAGGGGCATTCTCTAAGCAGTGGGGGCCAGGCCCTAGCCCAGTCAGGAATGAAGGGCTTACTCCCCCAAGGCTGTCTGTGTGAGGCAATGGGGCCTGGTCTGGGATGCACAAAGCTGTGGTTAATTTGCTAAGAGCATCTTTTTAAAAGTACATGATATAAAATTTCCAGAGGGCCTAAACTGACATGGTTAGATCAATGCCAGAGCTAATGTTATGATCCTAAATACCCTAGTTTCATCAAGGGAGTAATTTAGATGCTAAGTTCATAATCTTCATTTAATACTTAAATTTTTCTAATCAAATATATGAGTTTTGAGAGTAATATCTGTATGTCTCACTGAACCACTGGTCCTTAAAATACCAAGAGTCATGGACTTGTTTGAATATCTAGAGGACCTAGATCTGAAGCTTCGGTTTCATGATACCAGATTGATCTTCTGCATAAGTAGCATGTATTTATTTATATAGATACCCCAACTATTCTACCACCCTGTTTGGAAAACAAATTTAATTTTTAACTCTAAATAAGAAATTACAATTTTAATATAGTACAGAAGAATTATAAAAGTATTTCTAAACGCTTCTTCCTTTAAACTTCGACTAATTTTGCTTCATGCAATGGAATTGGAATAAAGGCAGAAATTCTTATTTGTAATACAACAGCATGTCTTAGAATAGTCATATCTCAGATAACATATAAAGTCCTGAAATTAGTTAATATTTTACATTTAAAAATAAACAGCCCAGAGGCACAAGATTAAACCCCAGACTACAGATAAAAAATTTGGCATATTCCCCCATTACGTTTGCAGCTACAAAATACCAGCTGCTATACAGAAATGTGTATTATTCATGGGGAGAAAGAAACCAAGCAGTCATGGTGGCCACCTTTATCTTCTTTGACATTAACTTATCCTCTATGAATCTTGAACAAATGGAGGTAGGTAGTGCCCCTACACCAAACATAGGAAGTACCTGAGTAAATATATTATCTTTACAGGAAATGATCACAGATGTGATACATCTGCTTTATTTAACAATCTTACCCTAAGTATCCTCTCTTAAAAGGTCCAAGAAACAATTCTACAGCAGAAGTGAACCCTAGAATAGATGTACCCAGAGAACAATTTTCCAGGATATCAGCACAACTGCCAATCAATTTCCACTCAGTCACAGAACCCATTTTCACTGAACCCTATAATCATTTCCTTTCCAAATTCTATTCTCTCCTTTTCCTCTCAATATTATCTTAGTTTAGCATATATCTGTCAAAGACTTTTCTCTTCCAAAAAGACAAGCATGGTGATCAGGGAGGGCTGTTTGGAGCCCAGCCACCACCCAGCTCCAAAGTGTAATGGTTGTGTGACCTTGTGCATGTCATTTAACCTCTCTGCGTCTCACTTACCTTATCTGCAGTGGTACTGACCTCATAAAGCTGTTGTGATGAGTGAGTAATGTAAAACTTACAGAGCAGTGCCAAGCACATAGTAAATGATCAGAAAGTTTAAACTATTTATCATTCCAGTTTTTCCATCAAACCAAACAGTACCCTCCTAAGCAGCCCAGGGATTACAGTGGAAAACCAAATCAGAGGTAAATCGAAGGATTAAGCATGTTCAGAAACACTGCCTTATTAACTTTTTACTAAGATATAATGATTAAATGTAAAGACACTATAATCAACTCCTAGTTAGTATTTGGAATAACTATATATATGTGTATGTAAACCCAAACATTTATTTAGAAGATACAAAAAATCAGTATTTGTCTTGCTCTTTCTTCAGACTGTCCTCTCAATTTTCAATACTGCCACATAATTTTATAACTAAATTTTTATTACATGTGAACACTTCAAAGAGCTATAATTTTGAAATAAATTTTGCTATGATTAGATAGAGAAAATCTACTCAGAAAGTACAGTATACATGAATTTACGGTACCTGTCCAAATATTACCAGCATATAAATTATTTTGTAAAGTTATTTCTTACACACAGGATGTAAAATGCAAAAAAAAAAAAATGGAATTTGTATTCAGAACAAATAGAAGGAATATTGGCTCCTATATGCTAAAAATATAAGACATATTTTTTTTCTAAAGCACTCTAGATACAAATATTAACTGTATGGGCTGAGAACTTTTAATTTCAATGTAATTCAACAAGGTACACAAGTAGAGCTCTATAAATATATCCCCTATAATAACCATATGCAAAACCATTTTATCACAAATACTACCAAAACCCTCTGAAAAACATAATCTACAAACACATTTTTAAAGAAATTCTTAGTTTTAACAACTACAAAAGCAATGAATATCAATAAAGCTATTTGGCTTAAAAAAATGAAGGGCAGTGTAATGTAAATCCTAATACTGCAAAGTTGTTTTTTGAGGAGGCAGTCTTGAGTTTCTTAATACAAGGTACTAAACATTTCCAAAAATAAATAAGAGTTATTCTATACAGTTTAAAGTCATCAGCTAGAGCTCTAAAAAGAAAACTTAAGCAGTAGATGAAAAGTAGGTATGCAGAATTAACGGTATAAAGTATGATTTTTATACAAAATGTACCACTCTTCAAATGTGTAAGGCTTGATATGAATTTTTGGACTATGAGTGTTGCACATCATTTTTAGTCTCAAACCATTCAAAATTCAGAATTTTTATAACGTTTCGATATTTCTGAAGTGAATAAATATGGTATAGGATGCAATTTAATGTCAACTTATCTATACTGTTCCACCCAGTAAAAATAAAACCTTTTTTGAGCTCAGGAAAGAATGTATCTTTTGAACGCTTGATCTCTCTATAAACTCTACTTTTAGAAATGTCAGAATTTTGTAATATGAACTAATATCCATCAGGAATTGGCCCAAGTTTAAAGAGAAAACAAAAAGGAGACGTAAGATGTCAAATAGTCTTAAGTTTGCCCTATGCGATTATACAGTCATAATTACTTTTTACATGAAAGAAAAGTGCTTTAAAGTAAAAAATGCTTTTGTAAAAGTTATTAGTATTATTAATACTTAACATCCAAGTCTAATTTTCCAAGTTAGTTCCATTTTATCCATTTCCTTTGAAAAGTACCCTTCTGCCACAATGTAAACAAAAAATGGTCCATAAAATGGGACATTACTCACAGCATAATTTGTGGTATGGGCCCTTAAATCGAGACCAAATCTTAACCCAAGATAGAGAGATTTTATCTCTTGCACATGCCCAAAATAACTAATATCAACTCACTTTTTCTGTAAGCCTTGAAGAATTTTTATTTAACATAATGAGAGGTTTAATAACATATTAAATACTACGTAGCACTCTTCTGTCGCTGTTCACCAACTGTTTTTATGACGGTAACTCCGAGATCTGGAATGCGATCGAAAATGAGAGTGTTTTCCTGTTTGTGCTTTAGTTTCAGAATTGGTATACCCTTTGGGAGATTTACATGGGGATCTTGCTATGGAGTCAGAATGTCTTCCATGTGATCTTGATTTTGTTCCTGAGCTAGTCTGCTTTTGAGGTGAGCTTGATTGTGATTTTCCTATCGACTTGGACCTTTTTTGCAAGGACTTGGACCTTGACCGTCCTCTAGAACCAGAATTCCTTCTTGGGGTTCTTGACTGCCTTGCTGAGGTAGATCGCCTTGGTAGTGATTTGGAGCGAGATTTAGACTGGCTGTAAGAAAATCGCCTGTGTCGGGACCTGCAAACATCCATAATATCAGAGTATATATTTCACACAAAAATACATAATAGGTTAGGAAACAACACTTTCAGGAACTTATATACTTTACATAACATTAGTTATGTTTTTATTGGATAAGCTAAAAGAAACTCTAATTTTATCATGCATGCTTCTGGTTCAAACATAAGTACAAGTTTGTAATATCTGACCAAAAGATTTTGACTTTGCTAGATATCAATATATCTTATGAGCCAGTTCTGAAAAATATATTTATTTTGCATATTTAGTCTGGGTTACATAATCCTAAGAGGTTAGAAAATCTGAAGGGAAAAAAAGAAAGAAAATATTTAAAGCTTATCAAATGTTTATAAAGACATAAACCTAGATGGAGGACTTCTGAATCTTGCCATGACAGAGCAGCTTGTTCTAGACTAATCTTCCCATAGAAAAGAGCTATATAAAAAAGCTAGACAACATTTATAAAACAACTGTTAAAAGGCACTGGAGAATTACCAACACAAGGAGAACTCGAGGGGTTATAAGCCATGGCTCTTTTCCTAAGACCATTTTCCAAATGCCAGCATGGCAGACTTGAGCCCAACTAGAAAACAGCTATTGGACTAAGCTGCAGAGACAGAAGTTAGAATTCAGGGCCACGAAAATGGCTAGGACTGGAGAGATGAAAATCCCAGAGGTGAGGACACCGCAGGCAACCCCCATCCCCTAAGATCTGCCTACAAGTTCTCCTCAGGTCGCTGGCCATCGTCCAAGTTGCACATGCACAGGATAAGACTCTAAGAGGTCAGCAGAAAACAGCAGCTGGAAGATTTAAGAACTTAGCTGAGCAAGAGGGAGGGGATATGGGGATATATGTATATGTATAGCTGATTCACTTTGTTATAAAGCAGAAACACACCATTGTAAAGCAATTATACTCCAATAAAGATGTTAAAAAAAAAAAAGAACTTAGCTGAAATTTTCCTCAGATACATAGTTGCTGGTGAGAGAGGCTGGAATTCAAGCCCCCCAAAAGGTCAAGGAGCCTTGAGTGACAACACAGGCTTTCAATTAAGAAGTCAGAAGGGCCTCATCCTCCAGGTTAAGGGTCATGCCCTAGGAGTAAGTGTAAACCTGAAATGGATCAGCCTTAACAGTGCCTCAAACCAAGCCTTGACAGGATCAAGGTGATCTGCCAATGCTCTGCCTGCTAGAAGAAAACAGCTTTCTTTGGAGGATCATATCATCCAAAACCTCTATAATCTTTCAACAGTAATGTCCAACATCCAATAAAAAATTATGAGGTAGGGCTTCCCTGGTGGCGCAGTGGTTGAGAGTCTGCCTGCCGATGCAGGGGACACGGGTTCGTGCCCCGGTCCGAGAGGATCCCACATGCCACGGAACGGCTGGGCCCGTGAGCCATGGCCGCTGAGCCTGCGCGAACCGAGCATGTGCAACGGGAGAGGCCACAACAGTGAAAGGGGCCCGCGTACCACAAAAAAAAAATAAATAAATTATGAGGTATGTGAAAAACAGAAGAAAATGACTAAAAGCTAAGGAAAATAAAACAAAAGAAAGAGACCCAAAATAATTTGGATATTGGCATTATTCAGAAAATAATTTTTTTCATTACTATGATTAATATGTTCAAGAAAATAAAGGAATCCCCTGGCATTCCAGTGGTTAGGACTCTGAGCTTCCACTTCAGGGGGACCAGGTTTGATCCCTGGTCAAGGAACTAAGACCCACAAGCCACGCAGCACAGCCCAAAAAATACAAAAAAAAAAGAAAAGAAGAGGAAAAGACAAAGAAATAAAAAAGATGGGGAATTTAAACAATACTGGAATCTATAAAAAGAATCAAATGGACATTTTAGAACCAACAACATGATATTCGAACTTAAAAAAGTCATTAGATGGATTTAATAGCAGTCTAGATACAGCAGAAGTAAGAAATAGCAAACTGGTTATTAGAAAAATATTACAGTGAAACACAATGAGAAAAGAAGTTTTAAGAAATCCAGAACAGAGCATAAGAGTTATTTGGTACATACTCACGTGGCCTAAGGGAAAAATTGAATAAGGTACAAGCAATGTTTGAAGAGATGATGGCCTAGAATTTTCCAAAACTAATGAAAGGCATAATAACTCACAATTTCAAGGAACTCAGTAAACCTCAGGTAGAATAAATACAAAGAAACCTATGCTGGGCATGTCACAGTGAAATTGCTGAAAACCAAAGTCAGAGAAAAATCTGAAAATCTGCTAGAGAACAGTAGACACATTACCTTCAAAGGAGCAACATTAAGACTGACTGTGGATATCAGAACAATGGAATGACATTATTAAAGAAAGAAAAAAACTTCCTGCCAACTTATAACTCTGTCTTCAGCAAAAATATCTTTCAAAAATGAATATAAAATGAAGATGTTTTCAGACAAACTGAGAGAATTCACTGCCATTAGACTTGTACTCTAAGAAACGGTAAAAATGCTTCAAGATGAAGGAAAATAATCCCAGGTAGAAGCGTGGAACTACAGGAAGGAACAAAGAGCACTGGAAAGTATAAACATATTGATGTAGAATATATTTTAGAATAAAAGCACAGTCTTTTATTTTATTTTTATTTTTTTAAAAGCACAGTTTTTTAGAAATTGTTTCATTCCTATTGTAGATAGCTGTAGAAAACAAAATGGGAAAATTGTCCTTGGGGAAAAAAAATTCTAACGTAAGAAAAAAAAGGATGCATATAAACACTACTACATATAAAACAGATAACCAACAAGGACCTACTGTATAGCACAGGGAACTACACTCAATATTTTGTAATAACCTATAAGGGAAAAGAATCTGAAAAAGAACATATATATATAAATGAATCACTGTATTGTACACCTGAAACTAACAGAACACTGTAAATCAACCACACTTCAATAAAACTTAAAAAAAAAAAGGATGCTATATTTGGACTAGGGGCCATTTTAACATTCTTCAGGAATATTTAGGAGTATATACACATTCACTGACACAAATTTAACAAAGATTTATGGAATATCTGAGTAAGGGACTACTGATAAATGCTAGGGATTAAGCCTTAAGACAAAAGTCCTTGCTCCACAAAGAGTTCACAGTCTAATGATAGCAGCAAACTAGTTTTTCCCCACATCCACTAAAGGCAAAAGCAGTGACCTCTTTTTATCTAAGGTAATACAACACATACATTGAGTATATTTATAGTACATGTTAGACTTATCTGTATGCTGACCCATACACACACACACACATACAATCTGATCCTTATGAAACTTAAAAGCTGGGTAAGATTTGCATTCTCTATAATACAACTTTACAAATAAAAAACACTGAGGTCAGAGAGGTTAAGCAACGGTCTTATAACTAGAACAGAGCAGAACAGCATTGTCTTGCAAAAAAATGTGTTTTTTTCTTTTTTTTTTTTCTTTTTTCTTTTTTTTGGACGCTCTGCATGCAGGATCTTAGTTCCCGACCAAGGATCAAACCCAAGGCCCCCTGCAGGGGAAGTGCGGAGTCTTAACCACTGTACCACCACGGAGTCCCCGTTCTTTCTATTCCTGATACGCCATGGTGAATGGGATAACTGACAGACTTCTTTTTTGTTTTTTCTCCAGCCAAGTAGTATACTGCCACTAGAAGGCAGAAAATGCTGTAAATGTTCTGGTTAATCAAGGCTCTAAAGCATTTGGAAACCGCTTATATTCTTAATGAATTAGATAGGCAAATTTTTCATTTTCTTTTAAAACTAAGTCTTTTTCACCAAGGCCAGTAGATATTGTTCAATAAATTAGGGCAGTGCTGCTTTAGATACAATATTACATCTATTTTGATTTTTGGTTTATTAACCATTCATTAATTTATAGTAATGTGAACTGTTGAACATCACTTTCTTACTATTCATGTCCTTCATGAAGCCAGAAGCAGTACCATTGGTACTGGTGTGACTTTCCTATATACATGGCATGTAAAATTTCTTAATTTGTTCCCACATTTTACGTTCTATAAATGTAACTTGTATTTGAGTGTATCAGTGTCAAAATCTCAAATAATCAGTAGGAAAATGGCTCCCCCTTAGCTATGGAACAAAATGGATTATTCTCCACAGACACAAGGGAGGTTTATATTCTTATACTATCAAAGTATGATAAAAAGAATCAAATTCCAGAACACAGCATGACTGTTCCTAAATATTTCTTTACCAATCTTGGTGATGGCTCAATCCTGACCTGAGTTCCTCTGGCTTATAAAAGGAGCTTGGGCTTCCCTGGTGGCGCAGTGGTTGGGAGTTCGCCTGCCGATGCAGGGGACGTGGGTTCATGCCCCGGTCCGGGGGGAATCCCACGTGCTGTGGAGCGGCTGTGCCTGTGGGCCACGGCCGCTGGGCCTGCGCATCCGGAGCCTGTTGCTCCGCGGTGGGAGAGGCCACAGCAGTGAGAGGCCCGCATACCGCAAAAAAAAAAAAAAAAAAAAAAAAAAAATTGGG